CCTGAGCCCTCCAAACCACAAAAACCACCATCAACTATATTTTTATGCCTTAAGCTCAGGAGTTTTTTTTCACTGCCGGTCGGATTTGTCTTTAATCGCTTCCCTTGACAATGCCTGTAAACTGGCATTAAATTAAAAAAATTATAAATTATAAAATTATTAATTATAAAAATTATAAATTATTTAATTATAAGAGAGATGGGAAGATCGTGTTTGCATCGGCTTTTAACATGCTTACTGGGACACCATCAGGGCCTGGACTATAAGATTGACGAAAACGCCGAATCGCAACAGTCACATCCCACAGAGTGAAAGTTATAGTTTCTAGAACTGCCCCGGTCAATGACTGGATGGTCGGAAGCGGAGTGGTCGAGTCTTCAATGAACGTTTTGGACAGGAAATCATTGAAGCTATCCGCGGTTAACTGGGCATAAACTATGGGATTTCCGAGATCGTCTCGAAGGATGGGATACTGCGTCTTTCTCTGAGTTCGTATTTTTCTAGAGAAAAGTTTCGAGACACTTAACGAATGGTTTTCAGTAAAGTGGACCTCTTCGGCTAGCTGTTTTTCTTCAGACAATCTCTTAGCTCGATCAAAAATATCACAAATCAAGGGCAGAACAGAAACATCGTTCTGCAGATGGAAACGACGATAAAGCCTGCGCAATCTGCGACGAAAGGGTAAAGGTAGGAAAATCTCATCCCCAACATTAATAATTTTCTTACGGGGGACAAAATGAGAAATAAGTGGACCCAAAATTTCGTACAGTTTTGCAGTGCAAACATTTACATCCGAACTAAGGAAGAACTCAGTCCAGTTGTAGGAATTAAGGTGTGTTAATAATTCGGTTGAGCGAGTTGATCGGAAATTGCGGAAAAAGTTATACTTTTGGGACGACATTTCGTCAGCCTCGAATTCCAACGTTGAAAAAACTATGTCATGGTCTGAGCCCCCGAGTGGGCCTAGGGATGACACTGACGATGGCAAGCAGCCTCTACAGAAAATTAGGTCAAGTATTCTTGAGCCTCGGGTGGGAAAATCGACAACCTGAATCCACATCCCGACATCCACAGCCTCAAGAAAGTCATCGAACCTTCTGGGGCCTGAAGGCGGAGACCAGCGGACTTCAGGGAGATTAAAGTCACCCGCAACCAGTTGATACTTAAAGCTTAAGTCGGCCGCAGCATGAAATGCCTGTGAGACTAAGCGATCAAAATTGTCATTGGCGTTGGGAGGGCGATAGACGCAGCCAACGAGTAAGGAGAACTTATTTTTTAGTGCAACCTGGAGCCAGCAGCTGCCTTCTACCGCTGAAAAGTGCGGGAGGTCCAACGGCAAACATGTAAGTGTTTGCTTAACGTAGACGCAGCTGCCCCCACCACGGCTATCTTGGCGATCATTTCGAATGCGATTGTAGCCTAGAAGAGAGAGTTCGGAGTCAGCTACTGCGGCTGATACCCACGTCTCAGTTACTAAAACAATATCAGGACAATGGACGAAAACCTGAGTCTGAAGCAAAGACATCTTATTAAGCAAGGATCTGGCATTTAAAACAAAAAGTTTGAAGGGAAAGGCTGATAGTTTTTGAGGGAGGTGGGCTAAATCGTCCAGTTCTGGGTCGCCCACGGAGCAAACGGTCCGGATGCAACCATCGGGTTCTGCAAAAAATTTTGTGGCATCAAAAAATTCTGACGTGGATAAAAAAGGGGAGGACTTGGGGGAGGGAATGACGGGCAGGTAAACTGGTAACTATTGTTAGCAAACTTATTTTCAGCTGGAAATCCGCGGGGCAGATACTGCAACGTATTTCCGCCGGGACGAAACTGATGATCGGATGAATTAACTGATTCAGTATGGACATTATCATGAGGAATAAATTGGTAAAACGGCCGTGGAGGAAACAAGTTAGGGGGTGGGGGACGCATTGTTTCCATTGGAACAAGAGGTCTATTAAACGGTGGGAAAATCGGCATATTCGGCCTAACTGCCTTGATATGAGGGCTGGGGGGCAGTTGCGAACCCGCTACGTTTTGAGTCGGGGTATTTGAGGCACTGTTCGCCGATTGTGGAAGAAAGCATTTTATACTGGTGCTGGATTTATTGGGTGTCCGAGTGGCTGAGACAGCAATTGGATTTGCCTTTGACTTAGACACATGCTTAGGCTTACTAGGGATTGCTGAGGGAGTCGATAGAGGCGTGTTTATACCAGGCGTGGTGGTGTGTTTAAAGAGGTCAGCATTAAAAGTAGTCGAACTCCCTACGGAATTGACTATGCCGTGACTTGCAGATGCCGCAGGTGGTGTTGTAGAGGACATATTCAGACTGACAGTAGGTGTCATTATCTTGGTGTTGGTTTTTGCCGATTTCAGTTTATTCAGTCTTCGCTGCAGGGGTGTGAGGTCTGGCGAAACGGAGCAGCGCCATTTACGGCAGAAGTCTCTAGTCATCTCCCTACTCGACAAGATAAAATCGACTTCTATCATGGAGAAAAGGGTAACTAGTATCGGCGCATTACGGCTAAGCGAGCGAAGTCGCTTAGCTTGTGCGACACTAAAACTCAAACCACAACTTTGTAGGAACAAATGCGCTCCCTCCATAGCAGATAAGTGGCTCGGAATGTTTCGCAGTACGAAATTATGCTTGCGTTTAATTCGTTCCTCAGTTTCCGAACTTATTACCCCAATAAGTTTAAAAGCTTGTTCAAGCACTTTTTCAGAAGTGCTGTTTATGTCTCCATAAATCAGCTGATCGATTATTTCGCCGGCTGATGGCCTGCAACGACTAGCAGAGGCGTATTTTTGGACGACTGAAGGGTCGAGAGGTTCAATATGTACTAAAGGGATTTGTGAGTTAATCAGATCTGCAGACGGCGAAGAACATACGCTGGCGTCTGCCATGTCTTCAGTCCCGATTTTAGCACAGAGAGACGGTGGGGAGGCCGCAAGCTTTCGCCTTTTAGCACGTGCTCTGCGGGGCATTACTGACAAAAAAACGTTTTCCGTTACAGAGGAAGGATAAAAACGTTGCCAACGTACGGAAACGCGCACTGAGTAGCAAGTATTACTGTTTTTTAACTACAAAAACTAGAAAGCGGTAGTAGGGAAAGGATTCACTACAATGGATTTTTTACAAAATACGACTATTTTGCCAGACTGTCAAACAAAACTGGAAAAAAACTTTTACCTTATATAGAAAGGCGACTTTTAAAACGGACTCAAGTAAAAAACAGGCATTAATTACTTAAGAATATCCAGATAAATGCAGAGCTTCACTTATCTTTGAAATTGAGCTGCGCGCCTTGCATGAGGGATAGAGGCAGAACCTTGGAAAACCCTATTTCCAGATAGACGTATGAAAAAAACATGCAGATATTTACA